GTGTGCGATTCGCATGTGAAAGTAGCAGTTTATGCTGCAACCATGACAACAAAGATCGCCTGGTGTTGAAGAAGGATTATTTTAACCCAAATTGCAATCTTTTTCTAAACCTAACCAAACCATGACCGTTATTATGGTAACCATGGTGACGAAGCTAGGTACATCGCCGTCAGTACAGTCTGTGTGTTTATTATTGTAACCTGGACAGCCAAGGTCTGGTAAGCCACCTATCCTCTGGAAGGCCACCATTTCAGAAGACACTCCTATGGGTCGTATCAGAGGGTTGAAGAAAACGACTTATATGGTTGTTCAGGTCGGAGGAGTTTAAACACTTAATATTCATAAATATGCAGATATGTCATGTGACCTATTATCTTCTACAGTATATTATTTAAGCTTTTTATTTTTTTAATTCTACTATCATTGTCCTACAAAAGTAAATATCAGTGTTTAGAGATGCTTTTTAGAAATATGTAAAAACAATATTTGAATTTCTTCGCTGTTCATTAACATGTTTGTTTGTCATCAGGGGAAAAAACAGCAATATTCTGACTTGAATATTTCCTCAGCACTCAAAGCCACAGTGTCAACAGCTATAGCTTTTTCTCATGAAACATATCACACATATTGTCCTTCAGATTCCTCATTTTCAAGCATTTCTGCCTGGAATATGATCTTAAGGATGAAAAATGACTTTGATATTCCTATGCAGATATACAGTAAATACAGCATATCATACATCACGCTTCATTCACTATAATTCACCCACAGTAATGTCCCTGTATTTTATTTTGATAGGATTGTCAAAGATTGACAAAATGGGGCCAATTTGTAGAAAGAAATAAGAACAAATCAGGACAAGAAGTATCAATCATATACATTTGAGAATAAACAGCATTAGAGATGAGATTTAAAACACTTCTCAGTCACCATGAGACTTGAACTTTGAGCTGCATTCTTGCATGAAAAGTGAAATGCATTCATGAAAAACACCCTTGGTTTAACACATTATAACATGGTACCTTTCCCTAATGGTAACACTGTATACTATATGTATTTTATTGTGATGTAGTGGTTTATCTGCAGCCATTCTGCCAACAGTCTGTTTCACCAGCTGGGAGATATAGTCACTGTCAGAAAGTCCTGATATCACCAACTCGAAATTACAAGTCAGAGGCTGAGCAGCTTCTCCCCACTCTGCTGCTCGTAACCGCGGCTTAAACGATATGACACGACCCCGGCAATAACCAGGGGCCCTTGTTGCTGGCGCTCAATCACAATAGCTTCAGCATGCAGCGGTAAAAAAGGCAAGGAAACACTCCACACTTCACCAGGCTGACAAAAACACATTATATTCTCATCCATGGGCAGTTCTGAGTCTCCACTTCACCTGAGGTACATGTCTTTTTACTGTCAAAGGAAACAAGAAAGACTGATTCAGTCTCTCTTGTTTCCTTCAGTGAAGGAAACCACAGCAACAAGGTGAGAATATACCCACTGCTCACAAAGAGGACCAAGGTCATGATCCACACTAGAAAAGAAGTCTATTCATCCAATGAAAAGCTGCTTTCTGAGAGCAGCTTCTCTATAACTGAAGCAACCAACTCTCAACTCTCTTCTCTGTTTCAAAACAAAGAAAGTAGTATACCAATTAATCTGTTAGAAATCAGTGAAAAATATCCATCACAGTTTCCCAGAGCCAAAGCTGACGTCTTCAAATGTCATGTTCTGTCCAACCAACTGTTCAAACCCCAAACATAGTCAGATCACAATCATAGAAGACTGAGGAAACGAGATAATATTCACATCTGAGAACATAGATCCACATCGATTTAGTATTTCTTTGCTTATCAAGCATCAATCATCAGCATATTTGCATATCAACGTTCTGTTGATCAACTAAGCAATTAACTGACTAATCCTATCAGCTCTGTTATACAACACAATCAAATTATATTCTATATGAAAACATTAAATTGTTGAAAGATAGATAGGGCTGCACCTAACAACTGTTGTCATCATTAATTAATCTGCCAATTATTTTCTCAATTAATCATTTGGTCTATGAAATAAATTTCTCAGAACCCAATTTAGAATTGTACCATGATAGCAAATTTAAAAAATCAAATAAATAAAAGAAAAACAGTATGTTTTTTGATTTTCTGTGGACTGACTACTCAACTAATTGACTGATAATTGTATCTGTAAAGATAAGAAATTGAACCATTTGAACTTTTTCATGTTGTAAATTAAACTATTACTCGATTAATCGACAAAACATTCGGCTGATTACTGATGAAAATAATCTGCCAACCATCTGTCTCAGTAGCTTTATAAGATAAAAGATGACAGCACAAAACTCCGCTATTAAATCAATTAACTGACCGACAATCATCGACTAATCAAAAACAAAACCACAGACACCATAGCAGATGCTACTGTAGGAGTTAAACAGGGCTAACAGCAGAACAGAGCAGAATGAACCAACTAGCCAAAACAAAAATGTGCTAACTTACCGATAGCCGTTTGACCGTCTGCTACTTGCTTCATCTTCCGTCTTCCGTCGAAGAGAAACAACAAAACAATCACTTGTCTTGAGTGTGGACACTCCCGGCTCCAGTTTTCGAACTTTCTTCCTCATTTCTTCCACTTTAATGTTAAAAACTGCAATATTCCTTGATGAACACGCCGCCATTTTCCCAAATAGCTCATGCACATCCATGGAACAGCTTCATCTGTTGAGGAACGTTCGATTTACGTCACTTCAGCAGCTCCCTAGGCGGAGATTCAAATTGGAAATTAATAAATGTTTGTTTTTTCCATCATTTTAGAGGCCGTAGTTTGTTTTGTTGTTGAACTAGATTACATTATACAAAGAGGTGTGTCTGTTATGTATATTGCTTTCATTCATTTGTATGGGGTGGACGAAATAATAAGAGCACCTGTCAACATAACACAAACAGCAGGGCTGCATCATTTTTCTAATAACCTGGAAACTGTATGTATGTATGTGTAATTGTAGAATGTGAACATCCCTTCATGTTATTATACCGAAATAAAGTATTTTATTTTATTCTTGTTTTTTCTGTATTTTGTTTCACTCTGATTTGTTTTTATTAGTTTCTCTTTTACTCTGGAGGTTGATTGAGATGTATGTTAAAAAAAAAATCAATAAATAGATATAATAGAAATATTACAGGGGGTAATAGAAATATTACAGTGGACATGACCTTCGTATCCTCAATTACTCACATGAACATGGGTCCAGGTGAGATTATATGCTGTGGCATTCTGTTCAAAAGGTGTATGAATATAATCAGAGAATTAAGTATAATCTACAAAATTAGACTTTAATTTTTAAATATTTGACTCTTTCACAGTGTTAAAAACCCAGCGCTCACTCCCTGAAAAAAAAAAATCCCTGCAAGATAAAAATAATAATTCTGCCCTCTCCGTTGAAAGGACTGTTGAATTTCTATCACTTTGTGCAGAGGAGGGTCGTATTTAAAGAGCTCATTCTCTCCACTCCTGCACTCTGAGAAATTCAATCAGTGATCATACGTCTCGTTCACGGACTTTCCCTTTCAAAGCCTTTCTGACCCGTCTCTCCCCTGTCTTTCTCACCCTTTAATTTACCTGCCCATCTAGGCCAGCACAGGAAAATTTGTTGCCATGGCAACCCCTTCCACAGAGGGGCTGCAGCAGTGGAGAGGAAGGGTTACCCGAGCACACTGGTATTTAACCCACACACACACACACACACGGAAAGACACACACACACACACACACACACACGGACAGACACACACACATGGACAGACACACACACACAGTAACACTGAGAGTAGGTCAGTGGAGAAATCAGCTCTTTAGCTTCTGAAGCCACAGTGCAGAGCTCGCAGCCATCCAGCAGAGGATCAGTGATGTGTGCACGCTGCCATGGACTCTCCACAATAACCCTGAGGCAGCCTTTCATGATGCTCCACCAGAGGGTTTGTCGGGAGTCAGTCCAGATTCTTCTCTTTTTTTAGTTAGTCTAGTTTTGGGCTGATAAAGGCTTTATAATAACACCATTTAAATCAGGCAGAGCAGCACTTCCTCTCCTCGGCTGGGGCTGCCTGGGTTGGGAGAATGGCGGCGGTACTTAAGTACTTAAGTACAATACTGAGGTTCTTTTACTTGACCTGAGTGTTTCAATTTTGTTATACTTCTGCTCCACTACATTTACTGTATCTGACAGTCTAGGAAGATGCATCCAGGTCATTTTCTGCAAAACAAATAAAAATCCTGCATTGAAAATTCTATTTAAGTGAAAGTATTTTTTACTGAGATGCAGTTAAAGTATTGGCTCTGGTGGGTGATTTATTATTATGTATTGTGTTATTAGCTGCTTGAAGTGGAGCTAGTTTTAATTTTTAAAACTTTTACATAAGAAACTGCTGTAACAGGTCAAGACCAAAAGTTGGGAATCACTTTTTAATCTTTAACAATGCAATTTAAAAGATTATCATGTGTTTTTAAGCAGTATAATCTACATCTGAGAAATAAAGGTATGTCCCTCTGAAATGCAGTGCAACAAAAGGGTGAAGTAGCATAAAATAGAAATACTATAAATAAAGTAGTAGCTCAAAACGGTACTTAAGTATAGAGCCTGTGTTGTTCTTATTTGCCTTCCACTACTGTTTACATGTTAATGCATAAATAAGATTAATTCAATATTATCTATAACATAACATATAGAGGAGTCATTCTGCTGCAGAATAAGCACTTTTACTTTGAATGTTCAAAGTATATTTTGCTGTAATACTTCCAATTTCCTCTGAATGCAGGACTTTGAGTATTTTTTAAATTGTGGCATTTGTTATTTGCACTTCAGTAACAGATCTGAATACATCTACTACTGTTTTTTACCATAACTTGTCTTAGTAACTATAAAAATAGGAGTCTTTTTAAATTTAAGAAAATCTGTTTAATATGAAATTATTTATTCAGCGTATAAAACAGGTCTGACACAGGCACAAAACATTCATAATACATAAAACTAACAAACCCAAATTGATAAAAACAAAATATAACGTGGGAGAAGTAAACTGGCCTTTTGGACTGAACGAATAATGAAAGTATATATATATATGCAATGGATCTTCATGATAAAAGGAAAATAAGTGCAAAATGTTTAAGATAAAAAAACACATTTACACACCCACCAATAACAAAAAGATCAGAAACACTTTATTTTACAGGTGTGGAATTTTTCTAAGTTACCAGGAAATAACTTTCTGACTTAGGAATTCTCTTTAAAGAACTGCTCAATGTAAACACAAGTAAATATGAATTCATTATTATTATTATTATGATGGAAGATTTTATTCTATAATATTAAATAAAATTTCATTACAATTCAGCATATTGTATGTGTGTCTGTAGACAAATTTCACATTCTGTTCTCCGACTAAAAGACTCAAAAGTTACAACAGCAGTGTCAGCAATGTTAGAACTTACATTTATGTTTTTTCCAGAAAACTTCATAGGAAATTATTTGGAAAATATTCAGAAATCACAAACCTGTAAAATAAAGCTTTGCCAAAGAGTCTTAACTTGAGGTTCACTAACTACAGTAGCTTGGTCCAGAGCTTAGGGTTTTCTTCAAGAGTGTGTTTGCTCTGTAAGACTTAACATTTTTTGAATTTTCATGCTCAATACCTCCAGAAAGTTTTCACACACCCTCATAGTTAACCTTGTTAATATCAGATACTTGGTTGTTTAAAGATCCAAACGTCGCAGCTCTTAACACACAAGACAATGAATGCAGTTTCCCTTCACCATCGTTGTGCAAATACAGCATTGAAAGAGTCCTTAAGATACAGTGTAGTGCTTAAAGTTTGTTCTAATTAAAATATGAGATTATTTTTAAGGCACAATAAGAAGTTAATATACAAAACGGAGGAGTGAGGATTTACATGCTACATGACTGCAACCTGGGGCATTTTCATGATTATAATATCACTATTCTCTTCAATATTAATATCAAAACACACGTTCCTTTCCTACATTACACGGCTGAAATTCCTCCTCTGAGCTTTGACTCAGAGCGCCCTCTAATGGCCACAACCGTCAGTGAACTCAGCACCAACTGCAGCAAATACTCCAAACATTCTCCCCCTGCTGCCCCTCATTACCGCGCACGTCTTGAACCTCTCATCAGGGCTGTGTGGATATGAATCAAATCCCCACAGCTCCAAAAAATGTGTGTCCATTGTCGCTCATTAAGCTGTCTCCACGGGGACCAGCAGCTCGTTAATTAAAAATAAAAACCAACCACAGTCTGGAGCCGCATGTGTAAGTGGAAAATAATTAAAAATATTAAAGAGAGGAGGGGCGGGCGTTGTGCTTCATGCCTGGGTCGCACCTCCCATGAGTCTTACAACCTCCCCCCCCGATAAGATTATCACTCAGACGCACACCTTTGCACTGCTCGTGTAATTGCTCTTTATCAGCTGTGCTTAATAGATATCAGTACAATCTGACGATTTAGACTGGGGCTCACACTTTAGACTTGAAGTGAAGGTCTGGATGACTGATCCAGGACCAGGAGGAGAGGTTACACTGAAGAGCTGAGGTCACGCGGGTCGTATGGGGTCTACAGTGCTACACAGACGCAGGGGTGTTTGAGGCAGACGGGGAGGATGCCCTTGTTGATTTGGTGGAACTCCACCAGCTGCAGGAGGTCTATGAAGAGAGTGAGTCCGTCGTCCATGGTGAAGTACTTCCTGCCTCCGTCCTCACACTGCAGAGAGGAGGAGGAGGAGGAGGAGGAGGAGAATAACAGTTAGGCTGCTGCTGCATCACACACAGGATGTTTATTTCCTGTTTGAGAGAATGAATGAAGGGAACTCACAGGGATCACCAGGTAGTGTTTGGTCTTCAGCTGGTAACACAGAGACAGGACGAAGCACTGTCCATGCTGCTGACTCTCACGGATGAGGAACATCCTGAAACACACAGACACACACACACACACACACACACACACACAGCTGGATTAATCATCACATCTTCAGAGTTCACTTCCCAGAATAATGAGCTAAACTTGGCGCAGCAGCAGCAGAGTTGGTGCATTAATCGATTAGTTGATCAACTGGAAGTTAATTGTTAACTAATTTGATTTCTCTAAGTAGAAATGTTGAGAGTTGATGTGGAAGCTGGACTCTGTACCCACATATGATTAGTGGTAAACACACTACACCTGGAGAGACTGAGATTTTACAATGAAGATAGAGGAGGTGTGTTTAATACGATCTGGGATCCTTAACAGAAATTCTTTCAGGCTAAGAATTAATGTGTTGAGTCCAATGTAAAGGACCATGCTGTGGATTCTGTTTCCATTTCTCTCTCAAAAGGTTCTGTAATACGTTTATATAATTCTGTTCTTTTTTAAAGAAACACTACCTTCATCCGTGACTGTAGCTACTGCTGTTATGTATGATGTGCTGTGTTTGTTTGTGGGGTTTTTTTTAAATTTTATTCTTCTTTTGTAAGTTTGCATTCTGACTATTCAGCAAAATAATAAACTTTTTTTTTATTTTAATGCTGAGTTCTCGAATGTTAAGATTTGCTGCTTTTCCGTTTGATATCATCCCAAATTGATTATCTTTTGGTTTTGAATTGCTGGTCAGACAAAACAAAAGACATTTATCAACCAAACGAAACAAACAAACAATAAAGAAAATATTAGTAACAATTAATCATGAGAATAATCGTCTCATGCAGCAAACACTGCACTCCTCAGAGGAGTTTGAAAAGCCGCACACGTCTTGTGTTAATGGAGTGTAACACTTCGCACTGAGTCTCATAAAATCCCGATTCGATTCTGCTGTAACACTGGCAGACTTACAGCTGCAGAACCACAGATATCATCATCTTCTTCTTTTGTTCCACACATTCTAACTTCCTTGTCAAAACCTGGTGCCTACATCACCCACAATGCAACCCAACAGCTGAAAGTTTGTTTGGAGATTGGGGCGTTTTATGTTAGCAGCCGCTAATGCAGCAGAGATGTGTGGTAAACTCACTTATTTCTAACTACACACCCAGATTTTTGTTTCATTTTCAAACTTGTGGTCTCTCTCGAGCCACAAAAAGCTTTACACAGCAGTGCTCCCCAACACCTGTGAACACGCCCATTTCCTTAAATCTCATGTCAATGATGAGGAAAACTCTGGTTTCCTGTCCTAAAGTCAAATGTGTTGCGTCGATCCATCACCCTGACCTCCACACTCTCACTTTCCACCTCACTACATAAAGAACACACAACTTCAATCCAATAAAGATGTAATATATAACAAAAGATGACGCATAACAAGCAGCGGCAATGGTAAGAAATGGTCTACACTTCCTGTCTCCTTAGTGGGCGTGGTCGTGATTGCTTGTTCATGTCAAAACACAACAACAATACAATACAACACTAAGTACAGTTTCAATTTACACCCGATTTTGCTGCTCATTTTAATCTGCAACAATAATGGTTTTATTATGCAAAGAAACACAACTTTTATTTCAGTTTTAACTTTTAATTCATGGCTGCATGTATACAGTAGGTCCTCCAATCAGAGAAGAGATCTGTGTTGCCAGATCTTGCAAGAGTTTGTTGCTGAGACAGTGACAGGTGTTGAATAAAGTTTTTTTCCTGATTTGTAAATGACATCGTAATGTCAGAATGTTCAGAAGATCTGTGGCTTGTGAAAAATTGATCCAAGTATTGCTCTTGACTAATTATGAACCACAACTGTTTTTCCCTTCCTTTCATACCGAACTGTAATGTCCCTTTGTCACCTGATTTGATTTGATTTATTTATTTATTTTATTATTATTACATTATTATTTTCTATATTTTGTGGCATTTATTCTTATTTGTTTTTCTTCACCATATATTTCTAACTGTCAGTTGTATTAATGCTGAATGTGTAAACCAATGTTGTGCTGAGCTCTTTGTTGTTGTTGTTGTTTTTGTTTAATTGAAACTCAATAAATGAAAAAAAAAAAAAAAAAAAAAAAGCTGATAACTACCAACTCCTTGAGCTTTCTGTTTCCCTGGCAAAAAATGATTGATCCAATATTTATTTCAGTGACTATGGGGAGAAAGAATCAGTCATAATCCGTCATTTCTGTAATTTCTGTCTCTGATGTAAAATCCTTAAGACGGTATCAGGGGTCTTTACTCCTCCACTCACCCGTCCACCAGCCCCTGCTTCTCTATCAGCCTCTGTGCTTCCCTTCTGGACACGCCGCCATGAAACCACGGCTGGATCTTGTGGATGGCTGCGAACAAACAGAGAAAAACACAGTGTGAGAAAGTGAGGAAGACCACAGTACGAAGATACAGAAGCAGGACTCTGCCTCCTCTCACGTGGACTTACAGGAAGGTCGGGCGCCAGAGTTGAGGTTGGGCAGGCTGCACCTCAGGGCTTCTCTCCTCTGAACAGAAAAAGGTCAGACAAACCATATCAGACATTTCTGGAAGCTTTTTAAAACACTGCATCTTCCCTCCTTATAGAATAAGACCATTTATTACAGTTTGCCCACCGTTCCTCACTGCAATAACAAAGTTTGTGTTTGTTAACACAAACATATTTAACAGCTAGTTTCTTCTGCTTCTGTTCACTGGCTTCAAGGTGTTTTTCATTAAATTGGAAATAAATCCACTTTTCTCTGAAAGCCTCATTAGATGAGTTTTTCTTTTAAACCCTTCATACCTTTTTTTTTTAAAAAACTTCAAATTCTGCCTTCAGGCCTCCATCATTTGTTTATTTCAGTTTTTAATATTGCTTTTCTCTCTCTCTACTTTTCCTTTATTATTGTTGTTCTCTCCACTCAGGTTTGTTCCTGTTGTGGTTATAAGTTTAGCTTTGTTGATTACAGACTGATGTCTCGGATAATTGTCACACTGATGAGTTGAATAATTATTCTATGTGCCATCATGTCTGAGGGCTGTCATTAATGCTGTACTTGCTTTTGCTCGTTAGTACATAAACTAAACCTCTTTATTTCTGTTTTCATTGCTCCCTCTCTTTTTCCCTCCCTCCATCCTCACCCTCCAAGCTTGTCCCTCCTCCCTCTCAGCGTTCTGGGCCTCCGTTGGATTCTGGATGACCCGTCCTCCGGCCTTCCCTGAGAAGTCCATGGCCACCAGGCTGGCCTCCGACTTTGACTGCGCGCACACACACACACACACAGTTAATAAACCAGCATTAATGTGAGATGACACTGCAGAGATGACTTCCCAGACTCCTCCTCTACATTGCATCAAGTGTCTGATGAGCTCACTTTGCCATCTGTGAGCTTGGTTCCTTCCAGGCTGCGTGGGGCCATCTTCGACAACTGGTAGTTACACTGAAGCTGCTTCCCATACTGACCACACACACACACACACACACACACACACACACACACACACACACACACACACACACACACACACATATTATTATTACTAATTATTCTTTGATTTTACTGTCTGCACTTGCACAAGAGGATAAATAGGACCCGAATTTAAAACTTTTAGAGGATATAATCAGATTTTTTGCCAGATACTGATCAGCTAATACAGTAAGAGAGAAATCAATTGTTTCATGGTGCATTAGAAAAAATATTGATGTAAAACCTTGAACAATCTGAAAGCTGATGTCCAACAAGTTCGTGTCTGTTCGTTCTCAGCACACAGGATCTTCAGGTCCTGAACACGGACAGGGTTTCTGGAAGGCTGTGCAAACACACACACACACACACACACACACAGTTAATGTGAGGGCGCATCTTTCATTTCCAAGTTTTAACTTAAACAAAATAATTTAACACAAAGTACTTTTCAAAAGCTTTTTGAACAGTTTAATCAAATTGATCCTGTGGAGTTTTTTGCTATGGAGTCATCTTTTAAAATGTGGATCAATGATTTGTACATTGCATACACACACATGTGCATGCAGGCAACACAATACACAATCCTTCCACTGATCTGTGTGGTGGTAACAAAATATAGAAATGTAACCAGCAAAGGCAGCGAAGAAGAAAACTGAAAACAACCAAATATGGATGCAACAATCCTGGATTTAAAATACTCACTAAATACTAAAAAGTAGCTTTACAAATATTATTTGAAGAAAGAAATGTATTCAACATGTCCAACAGACCCTCAGGACACACACACACACAGGGCGTCTCTGACTGGCAATAGAACCTGTCAAATCAGAGATGACACTAGCGTCTTATCACAATGAAAACATTAAAACTGCACTAATCAATACTTGTTTTAAATTAACAATTAATTAGATGATTAAATGAGTAATGTTAAAGTGAAACCCTGTAGTTCCCCTCAGTTCTACAGAGCTTTTTTAGCCTCTTTCAGCTCCGACCGTGAGTAAAACCCGCTTTAATTAATCAATTTCCAGCCACAGCAGGAAGAAAAATCCACTGTCCATATTTCCCTCAGGAGCTGGTGGAGACCAAACACGGAGCTAAATGAAAGGGAACACTGGACTGAAGGCGACACAAAAACATTAATGCTGCACTTTGTCAGCTGGATGTGTAGATGAGCAACTGTTTGCTACACCTTAGCCACAAGAAGAATACTAGAAAAAGGATATTTCAGTAATGTGTTCGCAGCTCGTTGTGCAGCCAAGAAAATGTATCAATACAGTGTTAACATCACATCATTTTTTTGGACCTTTTTGAAGGTGGAAAGTGACATAGATTCACTTGATTTATAGATTTTCTGGTCAAAAATGACATTTTTTTTTTTTTTAAACCTGAGCTCACTCTGTGGCAGCTGTGAACACATCAGGTGTTATGTGGAAATGACTTTCTGACTTCAGAGGAACCATAATGACATACAAATTAGAAACGGATGTCTTCCAGACAGAGCGACAATTTCCAATGTGATTTTCTGCTTTTAGCATGACTGCGACATAAATCTACTGCACAGCAGCAAATTACTGGTAAAGTATGTTATTACTGTGTGTTAGAGAGAGTCTGAGTTCCTCCATCACTGTCAGCCATGCAGAACCCACAGTCATTTCTCCACGAGCTCAGACTGCTGCTGTGTGAGTGAGAAGTGAAAGGAATGACATGAATGCTACAGGGAGGCTTTAGCACGCATGCATGCACACACGGACGCATGCACACATGCATGCACGCACGCACGCACGCACACACAAACCCTCAGTTCAAACAGTTCTCTAACGGTTCCCTACACCATGTTCTGTCTGGTTTGAGAACATTTTCGTGTCTCCTCCTGTCTTGGTTCATCTCTGAGGACGTGGTTACCTTGATGCAGAAGGTGAAGTCTGCAGGTGCTCCGTACAGTTTACGGCTGTTCACCACAGTGTACACGTTCAAGTCCTCCAGATCAGCCACATACTGCAGGTGCCGAGGTTCCTGGGAGCCAAAACACAGAGATATATAAGAAAAAGGTACACAGTCAGGGTTCCCGCTCTTTTTCTGGGACATTTACAGTGATGATCGAGCTCATATGAAAGACAGGAATCACACCATACATAAACGCAGTCTACACTGGGTTATACTTATCTTTGAAATCACCTCTTACATGTTTAATTGATTATGAAATTATGACAAATTGATCGCATGAACTCTGTCAAAATGTATCATTATTATCATCATTATTAATTTATAACCTGACTAACCTGACTCGCCCCCTGAAACCTGAAAACAACAACGATATCTCAGTAACACCTTGACGGAACTTGGCACAAACAGTCGCTGGGGACTGAAGAATGACCTGGGTAGATTTTGATGGCTAAAGGTGAAAGGTCAAGGTCACACTGACGTTACAAAACAGGATTTTGGCCTTGTAAACACAATATCTTGAGAACTCCTCAAGAGAATCCCTTCTAATTTGGTACAAACATTCACTTGTCAAGGACAAACTAATTAGATCCTTGAAGGAACTTTTTCACATTTGGTAAAAATGTTCACCTGGACTCAAGCATGAACTGATTAGATTTTGGTGGCTAAAGGCCAAAGGTCAAAGTTCAACGGCATGGTGACCTCACAAAACAGGACCTTGGCCTTGTGAACACTATACTCCTCAAGGGAATCCCTTCTGATTTGGCACAAACATTCACTTGGACTCAAGGACAAACTACTCATGGTTAATATGGTTAATACTTTATATGACTCTGGATAAACAGGGATGTAACCTGAAACTAGTCTGAGTGGCGGAGGGATACAACCATGAGGAGGTGATTATAGTCCTTATTAATTATATGAACCATTGCTGCATGAACACCAATAACTACATTAGTAGACTACAATTTTCCAGGAAGGAAACAGGAAGTGACGTCTTTAACGAGGTTAATCACACCACAAAAATCATCCAACCTGCACACACGTGATGTAAACTTCAGGCTGCGTTCACAGCATTGCCAAACAACAGCCTATTAGTCATCTACAAACTCGCCTACCATTTGAAAGTCAACATGATCCTGAACATTTGACTTTTTCTCTCATTTTCCATGTGTTTTCCCTGACTGGAAAACTGGTCAACTGTTTTCCACTTTTCCAAGACACATGGGAACCCCGACAGTGTGCACAGTGTGAAAAATGTCATTTATCCCTTTAAGGTCTTCCAGGTGTCTTCCTCTGTTCTGTTTTATAACATGGAAGCTGTAAAGTTCAGTAAAATGATGAAAAGCTGAACAGTAAAGTGGACTTGATTTGCTGACCTTGGATGAGCCCTTGGTGGAGCAGTAGAGTCCGGAGCGCCGCAGGAAGAAGTAGACCTTCTTCCAGGCCTTACGGCTGGGTTCTTTTACATGCAGGAAGCCCTGGATCTCTGGACACGTCCCAGACCTCAGCAGGTTCTGCAAAGTACACCAGACTCATTATTTGCATTTTGTTTTTCCAAAAAGAATCCATTAATTTATTTGATTATTTTGAATATTTAAAAGAAAACAGATGTGTTACGACCTTGAGGTTGTAACAAGGGGAAAAGACCATTCACAACACGACACCTCTGCAGTTTAAACAATTTATCTGAACTCACTCTTAGGGATTGAGGTGCATAAATTGTAGCTCATTTGCATTTTCTCCTCATTTTTCTCAGTTGTAATCATTGTAAGACACTGTCTGCTATAAAACACACTTCAGTCTCATTTTGCTGTAGATTTTGTAGATGTAGTGACATAAAACTGGCTTTAAAAACAGCCTGAACAGATCTAGTGCTGAAACACTTAGAAGATTGATGAATTAGTCGATGCTTTACCTGAATGAGCTCTGATGATGTCATCCCCTTGCTGACATCGGCGCTGTCGGAGATCATGCTCTCTGGGAAGAAGAGCTGAGAGAGGAAGGAGAGGGTTCGTCATTAAAACTCCTCTGAACGAGAGAACACTCATTTACAAGACACAGAAGCTGCTTCTGCTGCTGCCACCTGCACTGCATGACTCTGCTTTGGACTGTGATTATCTTGACTAAAATCCAATGAGCAGGAATTATGCTCCTTTGTTTAAGAGGCAAAATTATAATGTAACTACGTAACTATTTTCCACTTCTCCTGTGTTTTATTTGAAGTTGATCCATAAGAAGATAAATTTGTGGTTTTAAGAACCAAAAACCATCTCAATGTAATTTTACATCTCCTCTCTCAGGCTTCTCTCTGTAGCTCTAGTGACAACAGGTCAGTGAGCCAATCAGAAGAGAGGAGGCTCTGAGCTTCTCTTCTGATTGGCTTACTGTTTTCTGAGTGATCCAATAAAAACATTTAATAGATTTCAGGTAAACACTCAAAGAAACCAAATCCTGCAAGGTTAGATGGTGGGTCCAGGTGGGCGGGGCTTGGTGCATGGCTTAGAGCGGTGACTGCTTTGTTGTGACATCACAAAGTTCCAGAAGTCCTGAAGGCTTGTTTTAAGGCTCAGTTTCTGAATACAGGCTGTGTGCATTTCTCTGTGGACTGAGGCTTTGATACTTTCACAGTATTAAAATAGAACCTAGACCTGATCTATAATCAAACAACACATGGACATCTACCTTTATACAAAATGGGACCTTTAAGTAAAGTATCAGTCATGCAAAGTAAGAAACAGGCGTCCAGTCTGGAGCGAAAGGGAGATCCTGCTGCTGATTTTATTTGCATATTCATGTGAAAATGGGTGAGAGTGTGCAAATAATTCTTGTTCCAGCCTCTCAAATAAAAGAGCTTGTTGCTTTTCCCTGTTTTATATGATTGTAAACTGAATTTTATCGGCTTTTGGACTGATAGTCAAAAAAACAAGACATTAAGGCTTTACTTCAACCTCTACTATTTTTTGACACTCAATAAACAAATGATTAATCAAGAAAATAATCAGCATTTCAATTAAACATACGGGAAGTTTAAGCCTCACTTCATGAGTATAATGTGGCAGATCCCTGATCAAATTCACGTTTGTGCCTTGTGGAGGCAGTGTGGGCAAACTTTACAGAAAGAGGCACCGTGGGGGTGGCGGAGGGGTGTGCCGGTGGGAGGTTAATCAGAACCAGTTTTCAGAGTGAACTGTCATCTTTGTTTAACAGCACAGGCGACAGACCAGATCCAATGTAATGAAATATCTGAGGCATTAAGTCAGCGTGTCTGCACCAGCACGCAACCTGCCAGTCATCCGGGATCAGTAACCACCGTGACGTCAGGCTTTGTCAACATCTGCTGTACCAACATGTTTAATAAAGAACATGAAAATCCTCCTTGTCCCTGGCTGGAGGTGTTCTGTTATATAAAAGCACAGGAGGGATGTGCGTCTTAAACCTCACTGCTGTCTGTTATTTAGGGGAGTTTGACTTGTTACAGGTTGATGAGCAGCGTACCACTGGTTTCCTGAAGAACTCGTACTTGGCGTAGTTTTTGCAGAAAATGAGCCTTGTGTCACCCTTGAGAGACCAGGTCGCCTGAACCTCCAGCACAACCTCGTGGTCCTCCAGACATCTCTCTGAGGAGCCAACAGAACATGTGTGAAAACTGACCGTTAAATCTGTTACTTTAAAGCTTCAGTTTTGTACTTTAAATTCAGTTTTAAGGCGCAGTCTTACCCAGACCGAGGGTGGGGTGGAGCTCGAGGAGAGCCCAGTTCTCCTGGTCGCTGCAGTGAGCCGTCTGCACCAACATGTGACACACGTCTCTGGCTGTAGCTCTGCGAGAAACCCACACCGACCTGCTGTAGCTGTCCTCCCCGTACACCTTTATCAGCTGATGGAGACACAAAAGTGGAGGAAGAATAATTTAGAAGCATTATTAGAAAAACAGACTTTAAATATCAAAAGTTTCATTATTCACTGCAGAAAAATGGCCCCTGTCAGTGTATAATATATAATGTAATTACATAAATCATGTTTTTTGCAACCACTGCACAACTTCAACATATGTATGTGACTGAGGTATTTCCTTGTTTTCTACTTTTTACTTGTATAAGAAGGATTATTTTACCCAGAATGAAAATGAAAAGGGAAAATGGAAAGTAAGAAAATAGAAAGTAGTGAATAAATAACTGTAGTTTTAGTACTAAAGGATAATCTCATCATAATTACATTTGACAAATTTGACAAGGAAAACAGAAATTCTCAAATTAGGACCTTAAATGGAAAAGTAAGTAACTACAAAGGAAAACAAAAACATCTAAGAAATTGAATTATTAAGATATAAAATTATTTAGGCTGCAACTAGTGATTGTTTATATGTTCAATTTATCTGTAGATTATTTTGTCTGTAAAATGTCTGAAAACAGTCAGAAAATCCTCATATTTAAGAAGCTGGAAAACGACTAAAACAATTATTCGATTATCAATATTAATTAATTAATTTTCTGTTGATCGGCTAATTGATTACTGGACTAACTGTTCCATTTTCAACTTGGTGGGTGTGGGACTGGGAATATTTGATGATTATTACTGACGCATTGTACAAACATTGAGTTTGTTTGTTTGTTAATTTTATACCTTTAGGTTGTTTAATCTATAACAATACAAACTGGTCACAGGTGACCTGATTCTGTGAAGGAACAGCGAACCACACCTGTGAGATAAATGTTCTGGAGCAAAAAACACAATATTTTCCTCTGAAATTTAGTGGCGTGGAAGTGTGACCCTATTCTCCCATGAATTTACTAAATCTTAAATATATTTGTCTGAAGAGTTGTATGAAAGAGATGTAATCTGAGACTGAGTGTCTGAATATGCAACAAACATCTCACAGCTGGTTTTGGTGTTGCATCAACATCGGTATGCTCAAAACAGGAAGCCAAAATGTGAGGCCAAGAACCTGTCAGCTGTGTTGCAGCGCAGACGCTGCCACACTTTATTTAATAGCCCTTGACACCTAAAGAGAAGGCCTTTCAAATTCGTGATAATTTTAAACCAACACCGGGGCGAGACGTGTTTTTTTCTTAATCTCATCCGTTTTTTTCCTCTTAAGGTGAACTGACATTTCAACACAGGGTTGGTGTCTAATTCTCCATGTCCTGAGTCGTCTGGTGAAAGAAAGAAATCGACCTTCCTACATCCTCCTGGTCTTTTCTGTGTGTGTGTGTGTGTGTAAGACTGTCTGTGTCCGTGATGCTGCTGAGGTGAACCGGGTGCAGGTTATTCAGGGGTCAGGACGTTTCTCAGAGCGTGCGACTGTCTGACACGCCGTCTGGATCCAGCCAAAAGAAAACAAACCTGCCCGACCAGAAACCTGCGGCTGTCAATCAGCACGCCCGGACTGGTCGGGCGAGTGCCGGCATCAGTCGGGACAAAATAATGGCTGAGTATAAACCAGGAAGGCTCGTGGGGGAGGGACATTCCTTCAGTGGAAACCCCGTAGTTCAATATCCGGTCAGTCAGCTTTGACTCCTGAGTGTTTTTTTATTAAAGAGCAGGGGAGGCAGAGGAGAATTTGTTTCTATTTACTCAGAGCAAATTCAGCCTCTGAGCTCAGGACACAAAACTAACAGTGCGTGACAACGGTGGAGATTAGATCACATACTGAAAAACTCACTCACATCATCTGCACACAATCGAAAATGGAGACAATACTCCTGAGACTTCTGGAAACACTGTTGACCTTGTTTTATTTTGAAAACTCCAGGGTTGCGCTTTAGTCTGGACATCTGCTCGTCAGTCATGATGTATCCTTCCCTGATTCGTCACACTCCTAACATGACACCCTTTTCCCCCCCCCATGAAAACAACAATTCCCAGTCTGTGTTTTTTCCATCACCATGAGCACATCATACTCGTGTTACTTTCATGAACAGTTCTTCTCTCTGGTCTTACCCTTCACCTTTGCTGTTCCTCATTCGTAGTATTTTCTGCAACTAAACTACCAACTGCAAAAAAAATTATTAGCTCCTGCGATTTGGATATTACACTTGGCCATATTGTGATTTCGATTTACATTTCGATTAATTGCGCAGCCCCGATGGACAGACATTATTTCTCATATGGAGCTAAAACACACGTCTGGACGGAGATCACTTTCGTTTTAAAATGCTGTTTCAAAAGGTGATGGATGGAGTTGAGGTAATAAATAACTCATTTTATACTTTGATTGTTGCTTATTTAAGAATATTTAATGTCATTAACAGCCCCAGAACAAAAGTACACAAAAGTATGTGGACACACCACTGACCATATATTGTAAGTACACACCAATTTTACAATTAACCGCAGTATGCGAAGGATTTGTGAAACTAGGACATTAGCAACTTTTAATGCGGACAGGGGTGTTCACATACTTTTAACCAGGGCTACACAAACCAGCTCCACAGCTGTCCAGATGTGCTAGAAATAATAATATTAATGATTAAAAAAACAAAAAAAAACAGATAATAATGATAAAAACTAAAGCGTCAGCCTGTTCACTTCCATTACTGTACATTACACACCAGGGGTGGGGGTGGCACAGTGACGTGCTGCTGTGATAGCAGACATGTTTACTCTGACAGTGTTTGGGAGTCAAAATAAGACAGCGCAGGCATGGCAACACATCTCACCTGTCACACACAATCACAACCAGCCTTCTCCTACAGTATTCACAAAACAGGTTAAGACACATTTAGAGGATCCACTTGCTGATGCCACCTGTCAGACCCTGAGTATCTGTGCAGGTGTGATGGGATTAACGGAGTTAGATGCTCTCATTTGTCCAAACAAAAACTTCTTAAGGGATAAAGCTGGCGTTAGTCTATGTTTTTCTCACATCAGCAAATCCCACGAGACCAGAAATGTGTTAATCAGTTTCCTAACACTCAGACTTCTGTTGTCTGTGGATCTCACAACTGATTCATACTGAAGAGTTTCACTTAAAAAAAAAAAAAAAAAGAAAAGAAAAAAAAGGTTCAGTTGTTTCCTGTAACAGCTGAGCTCTGTAGTTTCTAGCAAATGATACTAAAACAGGAGGAAATACAGCATTAGCTGGGAACTATTTCAGTGATGGATTAATACACATCATCGCTGGTTTTGGAGAATACATAGAACTAAAAAATATAGAATATCAAAGGTGAAATTAGAGGAATCAAAATGTTGTGGTGACAGAATAATCAAAGGTCAAATCTAGAGTACGGGTCTCGGACTTGGACTCACATGTTTTTCACTTGACGGTGGTGGGAATGAACCAATGAGCACCGGAGACTTGGAGGGGCTGCACAGCTCTGGGAAGGGGTTGGGGATGGACGGGACAGAGGAAGAGAACGACTCCACTGCTTTCACCCTGAGAAAAAAAAAAAAAAGTAATTTTAAATAAACAAAAGTGATCAACAAGGTCAGAACCAGACACAATCATCTGAGCAGAAAACAATTATCTCATCATACAGTTAATGTGGAATATCGTCCCGTTAAAGGATAAGCCTGGTGACAGGGGTTGTGCCGATGGACGATGATATCGGTGAACGATGATCATCAGAACGATCAGCGATTGCTCATGCCTTTGCAAATGTCAAGAGGATATTTGACTTGTTTTCCCATTAATCTAGTAACTCATTATTTGTAGTGTTAAATTAATACTAAATTTAATTTGCGTGCCACAGTTTCACGTATACAACCGCAAATAACCGACGCTGCAACATGTGAGCACACATCACACTCCGATCATCTGACTGTAATGAAGCGCTGCTTGTTGTGTGTAGGAGCTGCTGTGATTTAAGAGCAGAGGAGACAGACACAGACACGTCATTTAGTTCAGTTTCTGATCATGCTGCTTTTTTTTTTTTGGCTCAAGTTCACACACTTCATTCATTAAGGCCCGTGTAAAGCCAGATGGGTTAGCAAACCAGATTTGGGGCTGAGTCTCTCACACAGGGCCGTTATGGTATCGAGAGACAAACTAACACACTGCTGAGTTGGTCTCTTGGTGGGATTTGTTGACGATAAGGAACATAATGGAATAACACCAGCAGTATCCTTTTAACTGTATCTGATTTTGACAATCTCAAACCTTTTCAAGTCGATACTGGGGAGAAAATTACAATTCTTTTTTTGTTGTTGTTGGTAATTACACTTCAAGTAGAAAATCTACCGAAGCATCAGAAAAAAACAAGCCGAGATTAATTAGGAGGCAACCCGTTGTTTCTGGTAAATTATGTGTAATTAGCCATGTTATATTAAACATTAATAGTATTAAATAATGAAGCTGTAGCCACAGGCCTGTTGAGAAACAAAGAAGCGAAAACAACAAAACCACAACTGTAGCCAACCACCCAGTGGCTGCAGCAGCAGAGCAAACACCGGCCCGCTCACAGGTTTACTACTTCAAGTATCTGGGATCAGTTTCGTCTTCACAGAAACATCAGATGACTCATGGCCTGAGGCTGAGTCAATATCCTGCACTTCTATTGACTCATGTCCCCTGTGTGTGTGTGTGTGTGTGTGTGTGTGTGTGTGTGTGTGTGTGTGTGTGTGTGCGCGCTGCATATTGAGCAACTCAATTAGCTTCTTCCCACAGTGACTAATGCCGTCTGTGCCTCTGTGCGCGGTCCTGTTGGTCATACCTGTGGGAGGTGATGAAGATGGGCTGGGAGCGGCGGACGGAAGGAGGATCCGCGACCAGAGGAGCCAGAGTCAGGGTGGAGCTCCCCAGCAGCGTCTCCGCTACTCCGGACTTCTCCTTTCTCTCCGAGCCCTCAAACACTTCTGTCCAGGGACCTGCCACCTCCATCATGATACCTGGAGGGAGTCGTAGGTCAGGGCAAGTCAAACATTGACCAAAGTGCTTTACAAAGAGAATAAATGATAATTATTAAGGTAAATAATAATTAACAATATCGATAAGTAAACTAAAAATAGTTTTAGTCTATTTGAACACCTTTACTTTGCTGTTACGTCACTTTTCATGCCTCCGTGCCGGTGACAGCCAGAGCCAGAGGAATATTGTTTTCAGGTTGTCCATCCGTCCCATACTCGTGGACGTGATATTTCAGTAACACTATAGATATAATAGATTTTGGTGGTCAAAGGTCAAAGGTCAAGGTTTTGGTCTTACAAAGGCGATATCTCGAGAACCCTTCAAGGGAATCCCTTCAAATTTACCACAAATGTTCACTGGGGCTCAAAGATGAACCGATTAGAGTTTGGTGCTGAAAGGTCAAAGGTCAAGGCCAGTGTGATTTAACAAAACACTTCATAGCCATAGCTCAAGACTTCACACAGTAATTTTGACAATATTTCACACAAACATGAATAATTAATATGACATATGACTCTGGATAAACAGGGATATAACCTGAAACCACAGGGAGGTGATTGTAGTTTACATTATTTTTTGTATTTATCAGTTGCAAACAGGGCTGGGTAATGAAACAATGATCACAATAACGATGACAACTTGATACGTAGCTGACGTGTGCAGGGCCAAGCAACAGCAGAACAAATTAGAAGCAGAACTTTGTTTCCATTTCAGAAAATTTCCTGTCATTTCATCCCTGTTCATATCTTCATATATAATAAATATATTTGATTGTTGGTCATTTCTCTTCTTAATTAATTCGATTAAAGATTTGACACAATAAAATTAACTTAAAAAAATTAAAAATACAAACCACTGAATAAACTGTAAGGATAATATGGCAGATGTACGGCCAATCTATATGTCTGATGGGAAATTCCTTCTCTGATCGATCGTGTGATCCTCTAACCACCAGGATACAGGTCCGTTGTTATAGCTGATGTGTCCTCATATATGATTAACTAAATAAATAAAAGGTTGTCATTCTCACAGAAATTCATGATGTCACAAACATTTACTTTTTGAAACTTCTCAAACATGAGAATTTGCTACTTTTCAGAAATTTTCCAACAATTTAAAAATACATTTTTAAGATTTTTTGCATTTTTGATGATCAGTTCACCAAAATAAGCCTTGGAAAAATTCAAACTGATAATGAAACTGTAAATAAAATCATGACATAGAAATTATTGTCTCTAAAATGTGAAATGAAAATAGAGGAAAATGCCAGTGTAAGGCAGAATCTGAATAATTTGTTTTGTTCTGGTTTATTTTCTTATTTATTCAATTTTTTTCTTTAATATCTTATTGAGGTGGTCAAGCCCAATTGTTATTGTAATGTTGTGTTCATTATTAGGTTTGTTTAGTGTGACCTAGTGCGTTAGCTTATGTTTATCATTTTGTTGTCTGGTTATTTAAGTCATATTTTTATTTAATAAAAATTTTTTTAAAAAACGCAGCAAACAGAGAATCTAAATTAAATTACTTAAATGATTATTAAAACATCTGCCGGTTAATTTTCCTGGTTGACTGATTCTAATCTTCGCAGCTCTATGGTGAAATAACCATGTGTTGCTGCCGTGATGGAGACTTAATACCTGTTTCACAAATCAGCTCTTGGTGTTTGTTCAGTTACTTTTGATCAAATATGTATTAGAGACCAAACGATCAGTTTCTGTTTGTGTCTGACATGTTCCACGTCACTTTCAGTATTTTTAAAAAAGTCCAGCTGTTCGTGTTGGTGCTGCCTACACAGAACACACTGTTTGTGTTTACTTTAATGTTTAAATGACAACATTAAAAACACACACGGTTGAGTCATACTTTCGTTACTCAAAATAGACTTCATGAGGCACTGAGCCAGAGAAAAACACACCTGAATGTCTCCACACCCACACACACACTCATGACAACACCTGCTGCTGTGTGTGTCATCTGAATATAAAGCACATTCCCTCCAGTTCAAACACTCACCTGCCGCTGAATGATGAAAGTTCAATAGTGTAGCCTGTATATTATGTATTGTCTCTACAAGTTCCTGCTCTGTTTGTACCATGTGACTATAGCAGAAGAAATTATCATTAAATTATTATTTATGTACATTTCGTGTTCTTAACAAAACCTCTAACTATCTGCAAAGCCCATAAAGTTAAGCTTCCAACTGTCAAACAAGCAAGTGATTTAGATTATATATATATATATTATATATATATTTTAGATTATATTACTTCTGTCCCATTTTGGGGGGGGGGGTCTGTGACCACTAATTAGTTTATTAATTTCTTAGGTACAACTAGATAAAAACTAATGCAGTCTAATACTACGGTGGCCCTGAGAGCTCAACGTACTGCAACTTCAGAAAACACAAACACATTCAGAAACCATCCTCATCAATCTGACAACACGTGCTGCAGATGCAGATACACACACACACAACGGAGGTGTTTCCAGGGGACTCTAAAAAATGATGAACCTGGCTGGGACTTCAACGCTTTGTGACTTTTGCAGTTAAAAGCAATGAACAACAAGTGCACATGGATGTATTATTATACATCTATTATAATGGTACATGCCAGTTGGGTTCATCCCTTTTGTGTCCCCTGGAAACACTTCTGTTGTTCTGTTGTGAGTATTTGCAGCACATGTGTTGTCAAACTGATGAAGATGTTTTCTGAATTTCCTTGTGTTCTGTCTGTTTGCATGTGTTTTCCTCAGTTGCAGTGCTTTGAGCTCTCAGGGCCACCATAGAGTGCACCAGTCCTGCAGAACTTCATCCTTCATGAAGGTTAAATTTTCAGTTTATGTTGAAACTGCTTTGGACTGCACTTGGTCATATTTCAAATTTCGATTATATTTCAAGTCGTTGTTCGGTCCCAGTGAATAGTTTTGGCTCATGTAATGCAGAACAGTCAATTTGGCTATTTTATATGTCATTTTGAACGCACATGTCATACTGTGAATATCAGATCAATATCCTTTTTTACATTGCGATATTTCAGCAGTATCACCCTACTGCAAAGGATGTCCAGCGGACCAGGTTAGTTATTATTGTTATGCAGATCATGTAGCATGTGATGAAGAGAACTCCTGGCAGCCTGCAGCTTTAGAGACGGAGATAATGCTTTGATCAGGCAGGGAGGCGGGTGGGAGTGGTGGGGGTGTGGGCTGTTTGGCAGAGGGGGTCTGAATATTTCCTTTCTTCTCCACAAACAAGAACACAGTGCCTGGACAGCGGTTCAATAACATCACCACAAAAACTCCGTGTGTAGTAGTTGGTTGGTTTAAAATCTCTGCACAACAGGCTGAAGATCCAGTTTTAAAGACCTGCGTGTGAGCAGGTGCACAAGTGTATAAAGAGAGAACATTATCAATATTGTCACCAGTGAATTCATGACTAACTAATCAACACTAGTATTCTCATAGTTTAATGTGAAGTGCAGTAGCTATATAATATAATATAATAGTAAGATTTATACCTCAAGAATCTACAAAAGTGCAAAATTATTTAAAATGATCATATTTTAAGATTTACAATAATATACAAGAGAGAAAAGTAGCTAATCCTCACCGTTGATAAGAAGAAATGTGTGAAAGTTTGCCATTATTGTTTATTAAATGAATAAATGATTGATAAATCATCCATGTTGCTTCCAATACATTTTCTGCCAACAAATCAATTAAGCCAGCAACTTAATTCAGGGCTTCAATTAGTGATTACTTTTGTTTATCAATTAATCTGCCATTTATTTTCTTGATTAATTGTACAAAGTGTAAGAACATTGTGAAAAGTACTGATCTCAGTCTCTACATGGAGGCCAATGGGAATCCCAACAAACAAACAAACAACAACAACAGTAAAAAACATCTGTCATAAATTCTTTAAGCCCTTCAAGTATGTTGTGTTAAAACCACAAAAAAAGAACAGTAGGAATAAAAGTAGAAATTAAAAAGAAAAAATTAAAACAACTTGAATAAGTAGTTGTCAAAATAATTGCTGAATAATTAATTTTCTCTAAATTGACTGATTAATTCTAATTAGATACCAAAAGCACTGTGTTAATCTATAACAAATACTACAGTACAATACCACTGTACTGTAGTATTTTTTTTTGGAAGTAGGCCAGTGATAAGGTTCCTACTGAGAGATAATATTACACTTGCTGAGGGAAGAAAACACTTGTTATCAGACTTACCAACCGCCTCACTGGGTGCTAATAACAGTGTCCTGGTGTGAAGGAATACAATTTCACTAGTCGACCTTAGACCCCTTACATCTTATGTTAAGAAAAGTTAGATTACTGTGATTCCACTGGCACATTCAGTCTCTTATCTTACCTGTAAACTAAAGGTGGAGAGGGCCAGATTTACAACTTACTTCTGGTAGTTTTAAAGGCATGATATCTAAGATGGTGTAGGCACGGCGCCAAACCTCATACTGAAACTGAAGAACATGACTCCCCTGTCCTCAACAAAGCTCTGTCGACGAAAACACACTTTTATACGGTTGGCACTAATATAGTGATAAATTCGGCTAACATCGGCTAATCCCACCTTATTGTACAGTCTTTATTTTCGCGGTTAAATCCAGCCTGCACCTGTTTGGACTAGCTTGTTAGCATCACCGGAAAAAAACAGTAAAAACCTACCTGTAAACTGTGTCTGGTCACTAGGCGGGTTTCAGCTGTCAGCCATCGTCTCCACTGCAGATGTGATGCTAAGCTGTGAGTGTGTGTATGTGTGCGTTTGTTTTTCTTATGTGTGGCACACAAAACAAGATGCCGTGCCACTACAACTGAGTGCCAACAACAGTATCTGAGGAGGCAGGGAGGAGTCTGTCCGTCAGGTGTGCACTGTGGCCCCGCCCACCTCCCCTCACTGCGACCGCTGGAGCCGGATGTGGGTTTAAAAGGGCGGTAGGTTCAAATATGTGTACAGCTTCTTGGTTCATGTACAAGATAAGATATGTATAATAATTATTGATAATTGAAAAATTAGATGTTCTTATATCATTCATATCATTTCTCAATTACACTTAGAGTATAAATCAGAAATAAATGCAGCTGAAACAATAGAAAATAATAATTTTGATCATCATTTTTTCATTTTTCATGCAAACAAACAAAAAAAAAACAAATACTTGATAGTTTTTTGCTTTTTCTTCCATTTATTTTAATTGTTTTATTCTTAATTTTAATAATTTTGAGTTCAGGCTGTTAAAACAATATTCCCTGTAATTTTTACAAACCAAAAAAATCAATTGATTGAACTTTGCTGCACCATTTTTCAGGAGCATTTTTACTTTTAATATGTTCAGTACGTTTTCCTGATTATACCTCCTACGTACTTAATTTTACTTAATTACCAAAACAGCTGCCAAGTCTTTTACATTTTTGAAGAAGGAATTTCAGTGTGGTATTAGTAGTTTTGCTTAAGGATCAGAGTTCTTCCTTTGCCACTGTTGAATAATATGGACTGTGCAATTTTGTAGAGCTGGTGGTGGAAGAAGCACTCTGATCCTTTACAAGTGGAAGAGCAGTATTCAAAAGTTTACTTAGTATTATCAGCAAAATGTAATTTAAGTATCAATGGTAAAAGTAGCCTCTGACTGATAAATTATGACATTGTTTTGATCAGTTTTTTGATAAAATAATCTGAGAGATTAAAGGGTAAATTCATAAATATCATACACATCTGAAACATGACAGGTGACACTGCCTGCTTTTCTGTAATAGGTTTTATATTAGATAAGAATATCATGTTTTTAATGTAAAATCTTAATTTTGAAAGAAACCACAGCTGTCAGATAAATGCACTGGAGTAAAAAGTACAAAGTTTTACCCTGAAATGTGCTGGATTACAAAAGTAGAACAAAATACTCAAGTAAAATACAAATACACCAGAATTAAATCCAGTACTTGAGTAAATGTAACTGCCGGATATTCTACTTATAGGGAGGTAACAGATGAAAATTAACATTTTAGGCAAACTCATTTACAGTTTTCTCTTGAGCACTGTCCCTTTCAAATAATTGAATAAATTAAATTTGTTTTAATATTATAAAATGCTACTTTCACTGAAAATAATATGATACACAGCAGTTTTCCTTTCTTAAAATGGCTAAATTAACTTAGTTTATTAATTAGTTTTATTTTTGTTTTGACCAGGAACTACAAAATTACATTTAGCCACTGAAAACATGGAAACAGTAGTAAAGGTACACTTCTACCTGTGCCAATGATGACTATTTGTCTCCACCTAGTGTTTGAACCTGATAACCTGGAGACCAGCTTGTTTTTCTGCACTTGACACGTGCGCTTGCTTCTCTGACCTGAATAAAGTTTAACCTGCATGTCTTGGGTTCACTCTGGGTTAAATATTTACATCTTGTTCCCCCTCTGGTCGCATGAATACGCATCTAAGCAGAAATTAAAATGCAGACACTTTTATTGCAGCAATTATTCAATAAAACCGATTAGTGTTCTGACCTGGAGGCAAGATTTGAGTCCCTGCATGTTTTTGAAGGGAATGTAGTAGTGTCTGCAGTGCAGGGAAAACATGCAAACTCCTGCTCTGACACACTCGTTTGCCACATCTTAAAATATATATGGAAACTTTATCAACACTAACAATATGAAATTCAATGAAATCCCTCAGAATTGACAGGACTTCTCAGTTACTAATAGAGCCCTCTCTTTCTTTTCTTTTCTGTTTTCATTGTGTCTTTACAATACAGTTAAATGCAGATAAAACTGAAGTACTCCTCTCAACCTAGTCTTGGCATTATCATTATTTTTCCATGAGTTTTAATGCACACATTATGACGTTGACTAGGTCATGTTTCCTCACAGAATGAAATGGAGATGTTAATACATGTTTTTATCTCATCTCAATTAGATTATTGTAATTCCCTTTTGAACTCTCTGACCAAATCTTCCCTACAGTGCCTACAAACTGCTGCCAGGCTTTATAACAAGATCACACAGACGGTCACATATAACACCTGTTCTTACCTCTCTGCACTGGCTTCCCGTTTTTAGAATTTTAGAATCCATTTCAAAAATTCAGTGATCACTTTTAGAGCTCCATACGGCTGCGGAGGCTCATTCATCAGAGCTCACACTATGTCTGTCAAACATGAACTAACACAAAACTGTAAAAAATAAAATTGTCCTGCTGTTAATATTGTTTGTTTTATTTCACTCTTTCCAACCAGTCAGACTCCTGCATGATACCTGCGTGATTTGGATAAATAGTGTGTCAACCTATGCCCTTTGGAGCAAAAGCTTCTGGCTACATCCTGCATTATCAGACCTAACAAGAGCACAGATAAAATAACCAAACTTCAGACGCAGAGGCCAAGCTAATGCAGTTCAAATGATTTATTAACACAAAATCGAACAAGAGGCTTACTGGAGGCAGGGGCAGAGTGGGGGTTTGGATGGGGGTTGGGGGGTTGAACTGCATAAATAATACACATATTGTAGTATATCTTGTCCAAGATTTCTACGTGTTGAAATCATAACATTTGTCCAGTAATTTTCCTTAATATCAGAAAATTTAAGATAAGAAAATATAATATGAAATATAAGACAAAAATTCTACAATATTACAACTTGCCCCTAGAAACTGCATCATATCCTTTGCACTCATAGCATAGTGCAGCGTCAGTGTGCACACCTGCAGCTGTGTTTTCCATGCTACCTCCTCCTCGCCCGGTCTCATCAGCATCACTGGACTGACTCAGTTCTGAGGCTGCACAGGAAGAACAGGAACAACACACACATATGTTAAAAAATGTTTTATATTTTCAGCACTTGCATTAGCTAGCTCTTAATAAGACACAGTACAAAATTGCCAGCTAATACAAAGGCTGCCCAGAAACTAGAAGCTACACCAGCCAAATTAATATCACCTGAGCTAGCGCCTATCTACAGCACCCCTGCTTAGCATTTCATCTGCCGGGTCTTTACTGGATGCTTGGAATATATCTATCTATCTATATTTATTTTGGAACATTTCTCTGCATCCTCCTCCGGTATTTTTTTTCTGTTTTTGTTATTCTCACCTTCTCTGCGCCACCTTTCTCCTTTCTCTTTTTGCTGCAGCTTCCAAACCAGTGTCACCAGTGAACACACACTTTCCCTGGATAACACCAACATGTGTCCTGTTTCTCATTTGCCAATTAGCCCCAGTGCAGTTATGGCCTTGTCTTTGATCTCTTGTTCATCTATCTAATGTTTCCTTGCTTTCTGCTTATCTGCTTGTGTTCGGACTTGTTCCCTGTTGTCAGTGTGCACAACTACAGCTAGTTAATTTAATCTTTATAATCATTTGAAAATTTGAGTTAAATTGTGTCATTAGTGCATGAATTTGTGTGTTATGGCCAAAGATATGTTTTGTGAGCTCACACTGAAGTTGACCTTTGACCTTTGACCGCCAAATTCTAAACACTTAATCTTTGAGTCGAAGTGAACATTTGAGCCAAATTTGAAGAAATCCCCTCAAGGCGTTACTGAGATATCACATTCACAAGAAAGGGAAGGGACTGTGGAGTGGAGCAGAGAGAGAACAAAACTTATGTAACCTGGAACACAATGGGCACCACACGTGTTCCACATCACACCAGCTACCCATTGGCATCGGTTCCATCAGTTCTTATCTTTTACTATGAGGTCTTGTTTTATTTGCTAGCATGTTAGCTGATTCAACATGCAGGCCTTCTGATCTACCAATAAGAATTTTTCTGCCAACAAAAAATACCCTCGTGCAGTGGTTGGCACTGTCACATCACAGGTTCATCCAGGACCTTTCTGTGTGGAATTTGCAACTTCTTGTACCTGTTTTTGGTTTCCTCTGGCTGCTCCAGCTTCATGCCACAGTCCAAACACATGCAGCTTAAGTTAATTGGCAACTTTAAATTGTTCAAAGGTGTGGATGTGAGCGTGAATGTTTACTTCTGCATGTCAGCCCCTGTGATGGACTGGTGGCCTGACCAGGGTGTACAGTGGATATATAGATATACACACTGGGTGGCTCTAGCTCAGGTGGTAGAATGGGTTGTCCAGTCATTACAGGGTTGGTGGTTCAATCCCCAGGTCCTCCTGCTCCTACGCCGAAGTGTCCCTGGAAAAGACACTGAACCCCAAGTTGCCTCCCTTGTGAAACACTATGGATAAAAGCGTCTACCAAATGAGTAAATTTAAACATACAACACAACAGAGGAAGCTGCTCATTTAAAGGACTGTTCTATACCATTACTGTATAGGACACTGATCAAACCAGATGAACTTCTGGGTCTTATGTTGACATAGATTATTCAACACAAGCCATCATTACAAGAACAGAACAGAGATTTGACCTGAAATTCTTACACACAACGTGATCAAATATTTGCAAAATAAATGTCAAAGTACAAGAGTCTCACAACAGTTGCCCTTTAAAAAGGAAGCTGCAGCAACAAGCTCGAGCTTTAACACGGGACTCAAGCAGTGCAGTGATCCGTCTTCATCTCCTCCACCATGCTGCTATCGCTTCAGTGGTTGTATTTGGTCTTTTTATTCTATCTGACAAGCCTCGCAGACGTGGAGGCTCAGTTTCCACATGCCTGTACGACACAGGAGGCCCTGGACAGAAAGACATGTTGTCCCCTCTGGAAAGATGGTTCTCCTTGTGGACAAAACTCAAACCGAGGGATCTGTGCAGCACCTGCTAGAGAAGCCCTCACACCATTTGACTACAGGGTGGACTGGCCAAGCGCCTTCTATACTTATGTGTGTAAATGCTTTGACAAATATGATGGATTTGAGTGTGGTGTGTGCCTCCCGGGTTGGAAAGGACCCAACTGTACAGAACCGCACCTCGTGGAAAGGAAAGAGATAACAGATATGAATGATACTGAGAGGGAGAGTTTCCTCTCAAACCTGGACCACGCAAAACACAACACCAGCAACCGTTACATGATCCTTACCAGCAATGACACAACAGTGTTCAGCAACTTTAAATTTCACAGCGCGACTGTCTATGATCTGTATGTATGGTTGCACTACTATGCAGCAAAGAAGTATGCTGATACTGACGACGACGCTGCGCACCGGGGTCCTGCTTTCCCATTCTGGCACAGAGTGTTCCTACTCTTTATTGAGAGGGAGATCAGATTGCTCACAGGGAAAGAAGATTTCTACATTCCATATTGGGACTGGACCAGACACGCCAACTGCAACATCTGCACCAATGACTACTTTGGAGCAGTTGACCCAGATGGTCTTATAGACAAGGCTTCCCGATTCTCAAAGTGGAGGGTGAGATATCATTCCTCTTCTTTTCCACGTGTCTTCTTTCTCTTGCTCCGACTCATCTTTCTTTTCTCCACAGACCGCATGTGTTTTGGATGAAGGTCTTGGTATGATCTGCAGCCGCCCAGATGACCCTTCACCTGCACCTATTACCCGAAAACCTGGAATGGATCCAACTGCCGACACTCTGCCAAACATGGGTGATGTTAATGACACGCTGGGAACTGACAATTATGACACAACTCCATATAACAGCAGATCCAGGAACAGCTTCAGGAGCAAACTAGAGGGTAAATGACTTAACATGCATTATTAAATTATATTTCTTATTGAAGAACTAAGAAACTAAGAAAAAAACAAGGTGAAGAAATTTTAAATCAATTTAAATTGTGTCATTTTGCCCTCTGAGGTTTTGACATTCCTCGAGATTCCCGACACCTGCAGTCCTCTATGCACAACCTGGTCCACGATTACTTGAATGGCACAATGTCTCACCTCCCCACTGCAGCCAATGACCCCCTGTTCATGGTACACCACAGCTTCGTTGACAAGTAAGTCATGTCATTTTAATTTGTGATAAAATTCCCAGTTAAGGATAGATTCATATTTTTGAAGTGTATTTGAATTCAATACTGGCATGCCCATATGTACAATGAAAGGGTTATTAGCTGCTGTAATTGTTTCTCCTGCCATACTGGCCGCAGAGAGAGACACCGTCACAAAGCAGGTGATGTGGGGCAAAATCCACAGTCCTTGGTCAGTGTAAAAATGATCATCTGAAGCTCATATGAGGCTTTTGCAGATGAAGTGTGTATCTTCAAAATGTACAGTGTTTCCTTGGTAAATTATAGCAACACAAAGTAGGAAATTGACACTAATAGGAAAATAACCACTTGGTTTGTCTAACTTAAGACTGCTGAAGCCTCATATTAACTTTGATTAAACTTTGGAATGAAGTTTTTAAACAAAGTGAAGGCTTTGGATATTGCGCCCCACCGTAACTGCTTATGGAGGGATCTCTGATCTGATTATGAAACCAAAAAATGTCTCAATGTACACATATACACGTACTGTTTTAAGACAAATGTGGGAAAAAAAACATGAATTTGTCATGGTTCTCAGAAAAGGGACACAGGAGCATGACTCGGGAAGCAGACGTAAAAGTGAAGAGTCTAAAGTAAAGAGAAAAAAGGATAAACAAATCCAAGCAGATGAACAAAGTACTAAAGGTCAGACTGTGGCAAAATCAAAATCAAATACCAAAAAACATGACAAGGGTCAGTGCAGGCAGGCAAAGAACAGAGCACTGGAAAGATAAGGTACATGGCACAAAGACAATCTGGAAACAGATCAGCATGTATTCTAGGAGCTGATGACGGGACGGGGAAGGGGTGAGCAGGTGAGTGGGCAGGAGGAGCAGGCCAGGTGATTCTACTGGTGGGAATGTCAGGGTCTGAAATGAAAAAGAAGTGCATGTGCACACACAACTGGACTGATTGAATGAAAGGATGAATGAGCAGACTCAAACTCAAAACCATGACAGAACCTATCCTTTAACGTTTGAAAACAAAGATAAGTTAATGTTACAATAACAATGATTTATTAAAGACTTTTTACAATATTCTCTGTGCTTTATAAATGTGTGTCAGGCTTCTTGAAGAGTGGTTGCAGTGCCACAAGAATGCAAGCTACCCTGAGAGTGGTGAAATCCATAAAGCTCAGAGAGGGGGTGCGTTCATGGCCCCGTTCTTTCCTCTACGCACCAACGACTGGTACTGGGACAAAGACACATTGAGCCTGGGTTACAGCTACAGGGAACACAGCATCCCTCACCCTGGACTCAATCGCGGCGCCACAAGAAAGGCTGAAGGTGGAGAAGGTAGAGCTCTTTATAGTTTTATTTTCTGTGACACCTAACTCATGGTGGTACATGTGGGAAATTTACTTTTAATTGTCTAGAGTTTCTAGTGGAATCCTTCACTTTTTAACAATTGACCTGTTTTTGAATATTTGCTAATGCAATGTGAGAACGAACTGAACGTTCAGACCCAAAGTCTCAAATTTGCTCTGGCTGCCCAGCTAGGAACGCTGTTGAAGTTTGTGTGCACTCTGACAAAGACGAAATAGACGAGCTAGCAAGTTTGTCCAAAACGCTTGGTATTGCAAACTTCATTTAAAGGCCCCACAAAGCAAACAGACATGTCAACCTGACCAAGTAAAAACCTCATTAAATCTTGTTAAAGGAGCGAATGCTATCTGCTAATGCTGTGGTGCTAGTTACATGCAATTCCCTCCTATTTTCACAAAATATATTATAGGTTACACTTCACCAACTCACCAGGAACACCTACAATGTCACACACCTTCATCCATGTATCATTTATTTAAATTTTCATTTAAGTCCCTGCAAACAAAGAAGGGTGTGTCATAAAGGATGATGAAACCGGCCACAGCCTCTACTGCACTGAAGTTTTAGTGATGTCCCTCGCTCGTAAGGGCCTCAGGATAAAAGCATCTGCCAAATGAGTAAATGTAAATGTAAAAGTTCTCACGGTTGGAGTACTTTTACAGTCTGACTGGTTGAGGCGCTGGCTCACATGGAAAACGACTGACTTCTGGTCACTTCGACGTTCTTGATGCCTTCGGTCTGAACAAACAGTAAAGAAACTAGAAAACTAAATACACAAATAACGTCTGTCTCCTATGTCTTTGTGTTTGAATGCAGTCTGATTACAGGTGCTACTCCGTATGCAGAGTGGAAAAGAAGAATGGGAGCACTGACATCATCTTCTGTTGATGTCCAAGGTTAAGAGTGTATAGGCCAGCTATTTTATAACAGAATGTAATCGGACTTAGATGGGCTGGGTGTTATATAATCTATAGGTTACAACTAAAACTTAATTCAATAGGAGGGGATTAGGACTGATATGGTGATAGTTTTGTTCTTGTAGCTTTGCTAAAGAGTGGTGTGGAATACATAAAGGAGAGATGATTTCTTTGTTAAGATTTAGAGGTCTTGCACTTAATACTGAGTGTTGTGTGTAACTATACTCTCCATGATCAAGATAATAAAAGAGTATTTCACCTGATTCACCTCTGAGTTGAGAAGTATTTCTTAATCTAATTGAATTAGCATTATGTTTAAGTGTTTCCACTATTTGTTCTTTGTGCAATTCCTTAAAACTGTGGAACCGGTGTGCTCGGTCTGGGCTGGTCTGGTACTGGTCACTCGGCGGGTTTATGCTGTGAGCCATCGTCTTCACCGCAGGTGTAGGCTAATGCTAAGCTTTGAGTGTGATGTGTTTTTCTAAGGTGTGGCACAAAAAAAAGTGCCACTACAAGAGTATCTGAATAGAGAGGTGAGGCAGGGATGAGTCTGAGCGTCAGGTGCGCACTGTGGGCCGGGCCTCCCCCCTTCAATAGTAAGTTCCTGCAGTACCGGAGACTGCAGTTTCAGGACCGGACAACTCTTCAGATCCTACAGATTCAAGATTACATACTGTATATACTATATATGTCCTTTAATACAATAATAAACAATAACAATAACAAGGAATGTAAACAAATGTGTGCAACAAGTGGTCAAGTGGAGGACACTGGGGGGCAATGACACAGGGGGAAAGAACCTCAATAAGAACCAGAGAGAGACAGAGAGAGAGAGAGAGAGAGAGAGAATAAAAAAAGAATTAACATTTTACTGAACTGTAATTTTTCCTCATTTCATATAGGTTATCCAGTACATGATGTAAACCTCTCTGCATAGTGACTGGATGGATTTATTTACTTGACAGTACATGACAAAAGGTGATGGGATTATCTTTTATTCTGATAAAGCACAAAGCCAGGTACAGTGCATGAGTGGCTCCGTTTGCACGCCGTTATAATTTAATAGGCTACCTTAATGTTGCTAATATATATAGCATAGCCTCTAATGGTTCGTAAGACACTTCCTGCAGTAAGGGAGGATGCAGTTTCAGATCACATTTTCAGGACTGCAGTGTATTAAGACTAATTATATATAATTTCATTAATATAAATGTTAGATGGTTGTGTCAATAAAGTTATTAGTTGGCTACTCTTAATATATTTATATGAGCTGTCATACTCGCTTTCCGTTTACCGTGCATCTTCTTACCAAATGCGGTGCTGACGTCAAAGTTCAGGAGGCAGAAACCAGGGTCCTAGAAATGTCCTGAAACTGCAGGAACCCCCGAGCTACCCCCCCCACCACCACCTCACTGAGGCCGCTGCAGCCGGCCATGGGTTTAAAGGGGTTCAAGTACTTGTGTCCTTTTATTTTTATGATTACACCAGAGCTGACACACAGAAATTGCTTTTGATTATATCAAAATAACAAGAATAATTAGCCGTTGTAATATTTTACATTTCATTTTCTCCTTTACAATTTAGTGCGGGTGGTAACTCACTACCATGCATTATATACTGAGTCAGTATTTATTGGCAGTGGTGGAATATAACTAAGTACAATCGAGGTAATTGTACTTTGCATGAGTATTTTGCTTTCATGCCACTTCCTACTTCTACTTCACTATCTTTCAGAGGGTAATATTGTCCTTTTGAGTCACTGCATTTATCTGACAGCTGAAGTCACTGGTTACTTCACTATTCTTGCATGAAAAACAAATGGAGATTTAATCAAATTATAAATTAGACAATGAATGTGGCCCGAAACAAAAGAAAATGATGTTGATCATTATTAAGTCTTTTTTCATGACCATACCAAATACTTCATAGTTCCATTTCCCCAGATGTGAAGATTTGTTTTTGAATAATTTGGCCTGGACTATAAAATAATCAATAACTAAATATTATTCAAGAAAAAAATCAGGAAATTAATCCATACAAGTAGCTCAGAATTGTACTTAAATGCAGTACGTACGTGAGTAAATGTACTTAGTTACTTTACTACTGATAACAATTGAATTAGGTCAAACACTCACATTTGTCATTTGTGAGGATTTGCAGCTTTTTTTGGTTTTATTTCAGAGTGACTTGATGTTTGGGTTTTTAAGAAATTTAAACATGTCATCTTGGGTTTTAGGAAATTATGACTATTGATTATGATTATGATCTTTTACTACATATTATTTTGAGCGGATTTATTACACAACATTAAGATATGTTGTTTAATTCTATTTATAGGGAGACAACAGATGGCTCATTTAGTTTTCTCTTTGTTGGTCGGTGGGCACTGTCCCAATCAGATAATCAAATAAAATTGAATTTTTGAAAAATGTGTGTATTTTACTATAATAGAATACTACTTGAAACTGAAAATCACTGAAAATATATTAATTTTCTTGTCTTTATAATTTTTTCTTTTTAACTTTGCTTTGACCAGGAACTAAAACTACATTTAACTATTGAAAACATGGCAACGGTTGTAAAGGTACACGTCTACCTGTACCACTGATGATTATTTGTCTCCACCTAGTGTTTGAATCTGATTACCTGGAGACCAGCTTGTTTCTCTTTACTTGGCACATGCGCTTGCTTCTCTCTGACCTCAGTAAAGTTTAACCTGCATCGCTTGGGTTCAATCTGGGTTAAATACTTGCCGTGAATATTTGTTCACTCTCTGGTTGCACGAGGACACATCAAAACAGAAATTCAGACATTGAAGCAATTATTTAATGAGATGGATTCCAGTTGTACCCTGGAGGTAATATTTTAGTCCCTGCATGTTTTTTGAAGGTATGTAGTGTTGCAGTGCAGAGCAGGGAAAACATGCAAACGCACGTTTTCACACAGATCTCAGAATACGCTGATGTTTGGGTTTATTTTCTTTATTATTAATCTACTATTTTTTACTCAAGTAGTCTGTAAGATAAACTGTGAAAAACCATAGAATCTTGAGAGCAGGCAGGGGTGTCTTCAGTTTTGTTTAGTCTGAAAAACGGTAATTAAAAGACAAAAAGATTCATAAATAACCGTTAGTTGCAGCCATACAGCTGAGGTTGATGGGAGTGTCATTTAAAAATGAACTTCATACCTTCTCAAGCAGATATTTGAAAGAAGAAAAGTAAAGAAAAGAAAAGTCTCTTTCTCCACCAACTGTTGGATCAAATCATGTTTATTAATGTGTTCAGGAAATCCCCACAGAAACAGTTTACAGGGGAACTTACAGATTTACAATCATTCTTGACAGAAGTGCCAGCTTAACCCCCATGGTTCAACACTGAGGACGCCTGCTGAATCTCACGGCCAGCTAACTGCACACCCATTCCCCTTAACAGGTCTACCACCAAGTCCTTCCAGCCCACTGACGAGCTACTGACAGAGTACTTGTTGTGTTGGTCTTTTAGTCATGAAGTATGCAGCGCTATAATAAGAAGTAGTAGCCTGTAAACACCCAGACATTCGAACTAGGTTTCCTTTCTTCACGTCTGGACCGTTCACAGTTAAAGAGCCTTCATATTTGGTGCCAATCCTTCATCCCAACCAGGAACATTAGACAGCTGGATGCTTTCAGGTTTCAAAGTAAAACTGTCAACCGTTGGTGAGAAAAACCTCGTCTGTCAAAATCATACGCAGTTTAGGCCCTCGAGGATACACTACTTTCATATACAGGATTTGTCATACTGCTCAAATGCATTTGGTTCAGCAGTCATAGTACAAATAGAAATGCTAAAACTAGTTACAGAAAAAAAAAAACACATGTAACATCTCTTTAAGGAATAACATGTGAAGCTTGTGAATGTATCAGGACACCTGTCTCAGTTAACCGGCTGAAGTTTGTGAAATGCCCAACACCTTGTATTGACCTACATTAAGTAGGAACACTGTCAGAATGATTCATTACACTCAAGGTCATCTCAATTCAATCCGAGGAATTCAATGACAGCTACCAAAAATATCTGAAGACAAGAATTGCATATACTCGCAGATTCTAATTTTAAAGTAGATTTAATTTTTAAGATTGTTGGCTTGCCTTGTGCTTCACGGTCTCACTTAGTGGGGGGGAAGGTAGTGTTCATTGGAGAACCATTGTTAAGAATAATCTGTTATATTCCAATATAATAATAATAAAACAAACAGCATGATTTTCAAATGACACCAGAATGATCGAGGATGGGCGTTTATTCATTTTTTTTTTTTTACTTTTTCTGTTTTTTGATTTGCTTCGACCTGATACAGGTTAAGATGCAATTTACTGAATCTCTTACTGGTGGGTTGAGGTTTCAAAATCAAAAGAGGTTAAAATGAACATCTAGCATTCAGTCTACCTTGGGTGAACATTTCTAGTTAACATAGATATATACTACAGGGAGGGGGGAGGAGAGCTTGCACCCTTGCTCTTTCTTTGCCGTATGAAAACCATGCTTCCTCTGGAGAGTAAGGGTGGGGAGAAGGGGGCCGTGCAAGACTGAGAGTGGGGGTAGGCTGAGTGGGGCAGAGGCTGAGTTTGGTGGATGGAGAAAGGGGCTTGAAAACCAGACTGCTGATTCCACAGGAGGTGTGTAAAAGGCACGCCAGGGTTACTCCCAATCCCAGCCAACATACACAGAGACGCCTTCACACCCACACACACTCGCTGAACACACAAGGTACACACACACGCGCACGCACGCACGCACGCCCACACACACACACACAAGCAGCACAGGCTAGAGCCCCACTGACGAGGGGAGAAAGCAGGAGGGAGGGAATGAAGGAAGTTCTTGAAAGAAAGAGCTGGGGCTGAAAGGTGGGTTAGATGGGAGCGAAGGGGCCTGGATCCGGTGCTGCCGCTGTGTTGAAACAGAAAAAATAAACAACAAACAAAAATCAAAACTGGTGGAATGGATCATTTCTGGTTCTTCAGCTGGTTGGAGAGCCAGTCCAGGCCCTCGTACAAGCCATCCCCGCTGGTGGCGCAGGTGGCCTGGATGTACCAGCTGCGCTGGCGGAGGGCGTGCAAACCCAACTTGTCTGTGATCTCTGCAGCGTTCATAGCGTTGGGAAGATCCTGGGAGGAGAAGAAACAGTGTGTTATGATGCAGAATTGATATTTGACATATTACAAATGCTGATTAGGGCTGGATTACAAAAAGACAAAGATTAGTTCAGATTAATCGCAAATTTGCAT